TCGAAAGAATACATGTATATATGTATATTGTAATGTATATATATATATGTATCATTGTATTGTTGACGTGTTATTCTAAACACGTTATTTGCGATAAATATCATCACATGCCTCGGTAGTCGAAAGGATAAGATGCCTGCCCGGTAAGCAGGAGATCCAGGTTCGATTCCTGGCTGAGGTGATATTTTTTCGCAAAAATAATTACGAGTTTTCACGACTGGTTCGTGGTCGGGCCCCGCCGTGACGCACACCCTCCCTTCTTATTTGGGACTACCTTTTTTACAGGAACTACCTTTTTTACAGGACGTAACGATGTGAGAAAAGGAAAGTTTTTGCGCGAAAATTATTACCCGCGATACTTACCGTTAATATTGTGATTAGGTTGATGATAACCATATCCGGATTGCGAATAAGCGGGCGTTTTTGAGTCTTCCAATGCCAAGGCATGATCCAAACTATGCTCCAGTGCTTTATTCTCAGCATAATACGGTGGCGGTGGTTGAGTTTGTTGGCCGTTACCTGCCACGAGGCTTGGCCGCACGCTGTGAAAAAGAAATGTTAAAATGCGCATAAAAAAGGAATTTGAATGATTCATGTCTTCCCTTGCATTCAAGCCGTATGACGATGCATCGACTCCAACATTCTTCTTTTACAAGAAACATTAATTTCGAAAACTTACGCGTTCGAGTCCATTTCATAATCTTTTGCCTTCGTTGCGTGTTTCCGTCGGCATCGGCAAAACAATAGCAGCAAGGCCGCGAAGAGTAGAAAAACTGCGCCGCTTACTATCAGAGCGATTAAAGTTGGCGTTCCAAGAGCGCCGGCTTGTGCGATGTAAGACGGTCCGACTGCGAGGAATAGAAAAAAAATGCTTAAATTCGCGTGAAAATCGTCGAAAACAAAAATACAATTTCTAAAATAACTCTGTTTTATATTCGTATTGAAAATATATTCTCTTAGAATTATACAAAATAAGTGGTTATTGGAAAACAAATCCATTAAATTATTATGATGAAAATATTATGATGTTATGATGATGAAAATATATTCTCTTAGACTTATACAAAATAAGTGGCTATTGGAAAACAAATCCATTAAATTATTATGATTTCTTTAAAAACAAACAACTTCTTTCAATGTAATTAATTTTGTACTATTAAAAAGCAAAAAATATCTGACACAAACGTCCATTAAACTAAAAGATCAAGAGTTTTTTAAATTTATTATTAAAAACACTCTTAAAAATTCCAAGAGAGCATAACTTTCAACTGTGATGGAAACTTCCATTTGTAAGCTGGTTTAAGTTAAAACTACCTCGTTTTAAAAATTTATTTCTTTCATTCGAGTTAGAATTACAAAATTTTGTATAATTTAGAAACTAATAAATCTTTTAGCTCTACAATAGAGAGAGAGAGAATCATTATTTTAATTGAATAATTTAAGTAAATCATTAATTAATTATTACATTAATTATTACATCTTATAACTATTAATAATTTTCTCATAATTATGAAACTATGGACTTTGTAGTAAATAATAACAACTTTATAAATATTGCTTTTTTTCTTTCCCGATTATTTCTGTTGTAAAATAAACTTACTTTCAGCTTCCGCGTACTCGCCGCATTTTTGTCGGTCGGCTTTGAGGCACAGCCTAACTCTTAGTCGGGGTTCCGACTCGGCCGCTTCGGGATCGTCCAATATTCCTTCTCTTTGAGTAGGCGCACTTCCGAGAACTTCGAGGGGCCACTCATCGACTATTCGCCATGAACTATCCGAGCCTCCGTCGAACTTCTCGATAAACGCCACCAACGCCAAGCACGTGGCACCCACGTTAATAGCGAGCGTGCTACTTTCCGGATCGAAGCTAACTCTGAGTGGTGTGGGTATCTTGGCCACCGCCGTGGTAGCGGATACTTCGTCAGAATAATCAGAATGATTCTTGGTATTGTAAACCTTCACCTTGAAGGTATAGGTTTGATGCTGTTCCAGATTGGTCACGTTACAAGGGTTCGATCGCCGACAGTCGAGTTCGAGCCATTGACCGGCTGGTCCTCGAGGAGGTGCACAGTCCGGCGCGACTATTTCGTCACCGCCGGCTACTCTTCTGTATGAAACAAAATATTTGTGATGGATAGGCCACCGTCGAAACCGAGCTGCCACAAAAGAGTGACGTATGTGGGTCCAATCTCCATGGCGGTGATGTTAGTCGGTTTCTCCGGTGCTCCCTTCGGCTGTAACCTGATGGTGGACATGACGCTACCTTGAGCATTAGCGGCGCGACAGGTATAATCGCCATAATCGGACTCGCGGATGTTGGTCATTCTCAGGACGGATGTATAGGCATCGTAGTTATCGCTCGTTGTCGTTATTTCGTAGTGACCGTCGCTGGAGGAGCCTTGAAGAGTCGCGGCGTTGGTACCGAAACTCCATTGGAATTCGGGCTTTGGCCATGCCTGAACCTTGCAGGCCACCTCGGCGGTCTCCATAAGATTATAAGCCACCTTGCCGTGCTGATGAAGGATTATGGGTTCGTGCTCTACTTTGAGCATCATCGTGGACTCGACTTTCTTCACCTCGTTCATGAAGACGCAGGTGTATTTACCGCGATCGCCCGCCACGATTTCGTCGGTCTGCGGACGAGCGTGACCCAAAAAGCTCAGCGAGGAATTTACGGTTATTACGCTACCGTGGCCCTCCGACGTCGTCGTAATTACTTTGTAGAGCCTCTCGTCGCCCGTTAATTCTTGATCGTCCTTCAACCAGCGCACGCTAGGCTGCGGTTTGCCCTGCGCTACGCAGTGTACTTGGAATGATGACTCCCCGACTCTGTGATAAGCAAGAAGACGTTACATTATTAGGACGAAAGATATATCTTGTTTCTACCTGCGCAGTTATTTATTCGTCGGGCGGCGCATAGTTCAACGAAGAGGTATGTAGAAGAAAGCAAACGTAAAGCTTGCGAACCTTTTACAATTACGACAACGACGTTTAGTACGACTTGAAAATTAAAGGACAAAGTAGATCAAGAAAATACGTTGAAACTTTATAAAAAGTGAAATGTGCTCGCGGAAGTAAATTGCTATTCTTATTACATGTAGACTAAAACATCTAAAGCATAGTAAATGTATATCTCTAAAAATGTTTGTTTCAGAAAAGAACAATCTGTCTTTTTAAAAGTTATAAAAATAGAAAAGAATATTTAAAAAGTAAACAATAATTACGTTATTCAATATGCAGTTTGCAAAAATAAGAATAATTATTTTTTCATAGTAAAAATTATAGTCTTTCTTGATCTAAAAAAAAAAAAACAAGAAATTGTATATACGATTGTTTTTTACTTACTTCCTCGTAACATGCGGCTGCAGTTTGGTAAGTATCTTTGGCGGCTGGTGAACGGTAAGATTTACCGACGCGGCTTCACCGATGCCGATTTCGTTGATCGCGTGGCATTTGTAGGTGCCTTCGCTGCCGAGGTGCACCGAATCGATTTCGTATTTCGGGCCGGACGGTGCGGGCATTAAAATCGTGCCACCCTCGCCTTCTTTCCACCATTTGTATTGCGGCTCGGGATAGCCGGCCGGACTGGCCATACACGTGAGTATCACCCGTGAACCCTCGACGGCGACCGGCGAATCCGGGGTCACTCTGGCCGGGCCGGGTTTGTGCCGTACACGGATCGTCACGCTGGCGAAGGCCGAATGGTTCCTGCGTTCACCGCCGGTGGGATAAATTGTGTTCACCGCGCGACACGTGTAGTTACCGGCGTGCTCCGCGGTGACACGGGTCAGTCGCAGGATCGAGCCTGGCTGCCTGAACTCCGGTCGGCCGTCCCGCAGCCACTCGATCACGGACGGCATCGGGTTGGCGGACACGTTGCAGTGGACGGTCACGCTGTCCTCCACATCGGCCACCCTAACGACGTCTCCCTCAATTGATACCGTAGGCGGATAGAGGACGTCTAAGGCCAGAGAGGCCTCGGCATGCTTGCCGAGACCGTTGTCCGCCTGACAGGTATACCTGCCGACGTCCTGCAGCGTCACCTTGGGTATCACGTGCTCGAAGTTGGTGGCGATGAAGCTACCGTCTCGCCACCAGCGTACCATGCCGACCCTCGGCTTCGAGTCCACGTGGCATTTGAGGGTCGCGGTGCCGTTCACCTCGACCTTGAGCGGGTTCTCCGGGCCGACGGACACGCGCGGGAAGTAGTTGACATCGAGTGTCACCGAGGCGTCCAAAGTCTCGCCCTGGCGCATCGCTCGGTTTCTCACAACACACCGAAAGATCGCTCGGTCGTCCTCCCGCGTAGGCTCCACTACCAAGGTCCTGCCGGTATGCAGAAGCGTGGTACTGTTGCCGCGGTACCATCTTACTTCCGGTTCGGGACTGCCGCCATAGGTATTACACTGTAACTCGAGTCTTTGGCCCTCCGTGGCTGGTGTGGAGGTCGGTGTTATCGTCGGCGGACCCGGCGCTCTCAGCACCGTCAGAGTGATGTATTTCCTGTGAAGATCAGTGCCGGTGCTGCTGACCTTCACCCTGCACTCGTACTTGCCATTGTCGCGCTCGTAGGACACATTTCTAATTTGCAGATCGTAACGGCCCTCCTGCAGGTTCATGTATACCTTGTAATTCGGCGACAGCGAGCGGTTCTCGATTGCCGCGTTGTCGAGATTGTTATTCGTATGGGTCAGCCAGAAGCAAGTGACGTTTTCCCGTGGCGGCGGGAATCGGCACTGCAACTGCACCGTCGAGCCCTCATGCGTGTCCATCTGCGTCTCGTCGACGCGCGCTCTGACAGGTGCTGAAACAAAACGAGCAAAAGTTCGTTAAAGCGACGACGAATGTCGACAACGACTAAAACTAGTATTCCAGAGCGAACCTCCATTGGAGAAAGAAGAGAAATATACGTATCGTCTTTTAATGCATAATAATAAAAATAATAATAATAATAACAATAATATATATATATATATATATATATATATATGTATATATAATACGTGTGCGGTGCGTGTGTGTATTTTATATTATTTTACTATTATA